TACCATTGACGATGGTGATGGTGATGATGTACGGTGGTGGTGTGGTTAATGATGATGATAATTGTATTAAGCTAAGCCAGCTTGGGCGACTATCATAACCCTATAACGTTGGTAATTTCTAACGTGGTAAAGTTTATACTTACAGGTGTGACGTGCTCTTTTATGACTTTCTCTTTTTCCTGCAGGTTCTGTTCACCTTTCTGGTCTTCACGGTAAGTTATTCTGTAAAGCAAAATTTGTTGGTCACAAAACACGCGATRGCGTAGAGAAAGGACCAAGAGGAATGGAAATTCCTAGCTTACTCTTACATGGTATGTTCTTTACAGTGGTCAGATGTAAAACTAATGCCATACCCCTCCCGACCCCCCCCCCCCCCCCCCCCCCCCCATTCCCAAAAAGCAGAATTAGTAGTTAAATAAATACAATAGATCCCTTGCATGTGACAACAAAGCAGCTAAATTTGGAGGACAAAACGAAATAATTTCAATCATGAGAACTGGAAACCTACTGTCAAGTCCTCCAAATTGAGCTGCAATCCGACGTGCTGCAAGGAGTCTATTAACTGAAAAGCTTCTTTCATTACTTTTACGATCAATAACTACCGACCCTTTTCCATTTTGCCCCTCCTGCAAGTATACACATTCACCATTTTCAATACATCAGTTAACTGGTCAAACACAAAGCGCTAAAGTGAGGCGCCAAGGTACTTTCAACGGATTATTCAAATTTGAACCTTGCAACCTCGACTGAATGCTTTGTGTTTGACCAGTGAACCGATGTATGGAAAATGGTGAATAGGCCAAGATATCTGTATCATTTTTTAGACATTTACTTACATGTATGTTGGTTCCCAGACTCGTCTGATCCTTTCAGTCTTGGTGCCACCTAAGCTTAGCGCTACACGTTGAACGTACGAGAAGATGGTTGCTGATGGATTACTTAATGGAATCTCTATCTCTGAAGGCTGAAAAGTATATATAAGAGAGTAGAGTTCATTAGGTAGTCCATATGAGAAATGTAGTTTTATCGCGTGCAACTAGCTTTGGTAATTAATCTTTTCGGCGATAGCCGTCACGTCGTAAGCACTTTGTTGGATTGTGTTACGATCACCAAAAAGTTCGGACATCTTTCTCGGATTCCCACACAAATACTGAGTTTAAAGAGAAAATTTAGATAGATTTCTTTAGTTAGCTCTCTTAAGGGCAATAACAAAAAGCTTCAATCAAGTTAGAAAAATGATATTTTACTTGCATTTAGAGAACTAACTAAACAAACCAAGTAAATAGTTCATTTAAAGTCACTACATTTAAGAACGATGCCCGAACTTCTTGGTGACCGTAACACAATCAACACAATTTACACCACGTGACGAMTAACGCCGAAAAGGTGAATTCGACATGCACAATTAAATAAATAGAAAACGAGGGCGCTTGCTGTGTGTGCAGTTATAGAGCATACGAGGATCGGCAGAACACAAGAGAAGTATTAGGARAAGCACGACGCATAGCGGAATCAGAAATCACAAAGCGAGATTTATAACAAATCTAACAATTTCAACCGGACTAATAGACCTTATTCGTGGTGTGACAATGTTTTTTTCAATTCAGCGTGACAAACCTCCAGAGGATTCATTTTCTTTTGTTTTTACTCTTCGAAAAATTCATGAGTATCCCAAAGGATACGAAAGGAATAACGATGATATACCGACAAGTTTCAAAACAATAGCTCTTCATTCCCCCAGAGGTTTGTCACGCTGAATTGGGAAAACATTGTCACACCACGAATAAAGTCTATCRCAGTCAGATAATCACTATGAAATCATTTTGGACATCTAATAAAAAGGAAATGTCGCCAATATGCTGGCTTAGGAAGGACGTAATCAATAACATAACA